CGCTCATGCTGTGAGGTACAACATATATTTGCGGTAGCTTGAAAAGATGTATTTTGAATTTCCATGTTAGTTCTTCGTTTCGTTTCGTTTTCTTATTAAATTTAAAAACTTGACCAGACATAACCAACGCAATACGTTCTTGCTATTGTCCTCGTACAGAGAACGGCCACGAGAAAGTAATACAGGTGAAAAATATAAATTTAAAAAATGCACGAATATGGGAAATACAAGAATATTAAAATAATATGACAATAATAATGAGGCACGGAATAATCGTTGTTCTGTATACTGTTGGGTTTAACATAGAAATAAAGAGACGGAGGCTGACTGAGGGTCTCTAAGTATTCTATGGGTCTAACTAACCAGCGTCTTAATTACTTCACTATTCTTACACGGCATCATACCAGTTCCAAGCGGAGCGGTTCTGCTGTTGCGCTGATACACTCTCGCTTTATTAGCTGTATGGTCATAGGTGCTGATTCATTTCGTTAACTAAGTATTAATTCACGCCAGTCAATGCAAACACCGTTTACATGTTTGCCTTGTTACCTGCTATAGGGCTACGTACCTGGCATTACCTCGCAGGATGTAGTGTCCCGTCCGAGTAACCACGCCTCATCAGACGTGAGCCACGCGCCGCGTTGTCTCGCTATGCTAACGTGTGCGCATGCTTCTTCGACAGAAGAATGCGTCGGTTAACATCGCGGCAGCCATGCCGTGACAGCTAGCCGTGACAGCTAGCCGTGGAAACCTAGCCGTGACACCTAGCCGGGACCTAGGCGCCGCTACACCTATGTGACCTAGCGTGACACCTAAGCGTGCACCTGCCGTGAAACTAGCCGCTGACAACCTACGACGTGACACATAACGCGCTACACCTATGTGAACTAAGCGCGCGTGACACATACGTGACCACGCCTAGCCGGGCACCTAGCGTGACACCTAGCCGGTGACACATAGACCGTGAACCTAGACGTGCACCTAACCGTGAACCTAACGTGCCCTAGCCGTTGGAACGAACCGTGACACCTACGTGACACCGTACGTGCACATAGCCGTGCCTAGCTTGTTACACATAACGTGACACCTAGCCGTGACACTAGCCGTGACACTAGCCGTGACACCTAGCCGTGGACACCTAGCGCCGCTACACCTATGTAGACACCTAGCCGTGAAACTAGCGCGCTAACTGGGGAACCTAGCCGTGCACCTAGCCGGTTACAGCTAGGCGTGACAGTAGCTCGTGACATTAGCCGGTGAAGCAGCCGTGAAGGATAGCCGGGACACTAGCTGGGGCGCTCACATACGTGACACCTAGCGTGACACTGCCGCGCTACACCTAGCGACGTGATACAGCCGTGGCATAGCCTTACCTAGCCGTGGCACCTAGCGGTAACCTGCCTTTTACACTACGTGACACTAGACGCGTGCACACCTGAGCCTGCTAAATACCGATGCAACCTAGCGGACACCGAGCCGCGTACACTAGCCGTGATACCAAGCCGTGTAGAACTAGCCATTACACTGCGGCGTGACACCTAGCGTACATAGCCGTGTTACATATGTGAACCGAGCCCTGCACCTAGCCGTAACACCTAGCCTTGACGACACAGGGGACGTGACACTGCCGTGCAACCAGCCATGCACCTAGCCGTGACTCTAGCCTTGCTCACGACGTGACACTTAGCCTGAACACTGCCTTGCTACACATACGTGACACGAGCCCTGGCATAGCCGTGCACCCTGCGTGGAACATACGGGAACCTAGCCGTGACAGCTAGCCTTGCGTAACAGACGTGACACTGCGTGACACCGACGTGGCACCTAGCCGTGACACCTGCTTGCGACAGCGTGACACTAGCCGTGAAAGCTGGCACGTGAACTAAGCCGTAGCCCTAGCTGTGACAGCTATCTGACACCTAGCGGCTAACCTAGAGGACCTAGCCGTGACACGTGCGGGAATCACCTACGTGCACCTACCGTACAGTAAGCGTGACAGATTAGCCGTGACAGCGAGCCGTGACAGCGAGCGTGGACTAGGCCGTGAACAATAGCCGTGACCCGTAGCCGTGGACACTAGCGTGACCTAGCCGTGACACCTAGCCGTGGACACCTAGCGTGACAGCAGCGTGACACCTAGCCGGAACAACCTAGCCTGCTACAATGACGTTGACACTTAGCCGTGACACCTAGCTTGCTCACATAGTGACACTTAGCCCCGTGACACTAGCCTTGCTACGCATACGTGACACATAGCTGGTTGAACAGACGGGAACCTGCCGTCACCTAGCGTTGCACCTAGCCGTGACACCTAGCCGTGAACAGCCGTGACACAGCTTGCTAAACTAGTGACACGTAGCCGTGACACCTAAGCTTTGCTACCATACGTGACACTAGGTGGCCACCTAGCCGTGACACCTAGCCTGGACAATGTTTACATACGTGCACCTAGCCGTGACACCTTAGCCGTGACACGCTAGGTCGTGACACCTAGGTCGTGACATAGTCGTGACACCTAGTCTGACACATAACACGTGACCTAGCGCGCTACCATACGTGGCCACCTGCCGTGACACCTAGTCGTGAAGCAGCGCGTGACAGCTAGGCCTGACACCTGCCGTGACACCTAGCCTGTGCTAACATGACGATGAACTGAGCCGTGACACATAGCGCTTGCTACAATACGTGGCAACGGAGCGTGAACTGCCTTGCTACGCATACGTGACACCTAGACGTGTTACCTACGTGCACATAGCGTGACACCTAGCCGTGAACGCTAGCGTGACACTAGCCGTGCAACCTAGCCCGTGACACCTAGCCTTGACGACACTAGTGACACTTAGCCGTGGACACCTAAGCTGCTACAAGACGTGCACCTAGCCGGGGGCACGAGCCGTGACACCTAGCCTTGGTTAACATCTGACACCTAGCGTGCACGAGCCGTGACACCTAGTCGTGACACCTAGTCGTGGACACCTAGTCGTGACACTAGTTCGTGAACCTACCGTGAACTAGCCCGCGCGGACACGACGTGGCACCCTAGCCGTGACCGAGTCGTGCACAGCTAGCCGTTGAAGCTGAGCGGGACACCTAGCGGGACACCTAGCCGTGACACCGAACCGTGACACCTAGCGGACCGCTCCACCTATGTGACACCTAGCGTGCACCTAGCCGGACACGAGCGTGCACCTAACGTGACACCGCTAACGTGACACCTAGCCTTGTTACACATACGTGACACCTAGCCGTGACTAGCAGTCGATAACAGACGTGATGACGGTGCACTATAAGGTACCGCCGCTATTCGCCCGTTTTATTTCAACACATGGACACAGCGTATAGAAACAGCGCTCTAGCTGTAAATAATGAGTTTTTAACGTTGCGATTACTAGTATTGTTAGGGTATAATTATGGTTAGGTACGCGTGTGTTCGCGCACGGGTGAGTGAGTGCGCGCGTGTGTGTGTGCTTGCGCGCGTACGAGCGTGTGCGTGCGTGCGTGCGTGTGTGAGTACGAGCGTGTGCGTGCGTGCACGAGCGTGTGTGTTATTCATATTGAAATTATCAAGAGGTGTATTTATTATAATTACACAGCCGGTTATTGCTCCTGAAAATTCTTATAAACATTCTCAGAAAAATGTATGTATGTGCAGTGATTACTTCACCGTAAATAGTAAAAAAAAAATAAAAATATTTCCACTTTTTCACAAACGTGACTCATACATATCCCATAGCAAGCAATTAATGCCAAGAACATAATTTCAAATCGTCCAGGTTTTTTGAATTTTTAACTAGTTGAGAAACAAAATATAAGTAATTCTGTTCACTTTTTATGGTTAAATTGCTGCATTATACTTCATATTTTACTATATTGTTCGATGTGAACATACACTCGTGACTCATACATATCCCATAACAAGCCATGCCAAGAACATAATATCAAATCGTCCAGGTTTTTTGGATTTTTAACTAGTTGAGAAACTATCTCATCAGGTAAGATTTTGACGATACGTTTAGTCCCGTTAGTTCTTACTTTTAATGTAAATAAATGGCAACAAAATTTTTACAAATTTTACCATGAAAAATTCGTGACGTAGTCAATTTAAATACTTAATCATAAGAAATACCTACGTGCTTAATTTCCCGCGTGTGTGCGCGCCTACGTGTGTTATATTAATAATAAAATCATAATTAAGGATGTGTTCATTTTTATGTAGTCGAGATTAGAGGCCCTGTAAGTATACTTATGAATATTTTCAGAAAAATTACATATTACAAAGATTTGTATTCGTAAGAAATAATTGAAGAATAATTCGTACGAATAAATTCTATGTGCTCTTAAAGTTATTTGTACCCCTCTATAAATAAATTTATCAACAAAATGTGCATGTTCACATAGTTTATAATTTTCATAACACGAAAAGCATACACAAATAGCACAAGTTTTTTCGTCATAAATAGTACAATTCAGCATCATTAACAAATATTACGTATACCTGTTTTAATAATCTCTTCAGCTTATCCGTTATATCTGCTTGCTTTCCATTACGTTAGTAATTTTTAATTTATCTATTGCTTGTGCCCTCTGATCTTTTTATACTAACTATATACGTTATATATCCATATTTAACTATATATGTTAGTATATAGGGATTAGTACCGGTTCCTCATTTAGTAACTCGAATTATATTAATTTACTATTATCTCGAATAATATTATTAACTCGAAATAGACTATTATTGATTATACCAGCAGTAGATAATAGAAGACTCTCTTCTATTCTCTACTCCTGATTATATGTATATAATCAAAAGCTAATAATACATGTGTAGGTATATATGAATACTCGAAATTATAATTGTTTGGCATTTACGATCAGGAGGTGTTTCGCGGTTTCTCTTCTTTCCGGATTTGCGGAAATTTTCCGATATCGTCATGGTAGGTTTATCCAACTGTCGTCGCTCCACAACACGTGGCGCCAGCTAGCGAAGAATTTCCGGGGTTGGCTGCTGGGTGTGCGCAGGAAAGGACGTGTTTTGTTTACTTTCGTGTTAACTAATCAAATTTATCGGTGGAACACAATTTAAACACATATCGGGGAAACTTCCTGCATTTCAGAATGCCGGTCTTTCATACAAAGACGATAGAAAGTATTTTGGAGCCTGTAGCACAGCAGGTAAGTAGGATGATTGTGGAATGCGGCATGCGGGGTTGGCCATGCCCACCCACACAAGTTGCGGTAATGTTCGCATGCCTGTCGTATTTGATGCGCTATAGAAATCTTGTCATTGCAATTTTTGGTCATCACTTTGATCGTAACTACTCATTCATTGACAGCAATAGTACTGGCAAATGGTATCTATCGGTGCCAGGGATGCTTTGTTGATAGCATTTATAACTGTGTACCACTCGTCCACGCGTCAAATACTTGAAATTGCCGCTGTAAATTACATATGATAGAGATTGCAGACTAGCACGATTATCTAACCACGTAGAGCGCATTTTAAATCAGAGTTGACTGACATTTTAGGCTTATGTCTTTGGCTAATCTCATTGTTTTATATTTCCTGTGTTTAGAACTCGAGTACTAGTACTACTACTAGTACTACTACTAGTACTAGTACTAGAATTGCATACATAAACTTTTACAGTCATTATAACTTTCTATAAATATATAACAATTACCTGAAACGCTCAGTTCAAGTTGTATGTGTGGGCGGGGCCCCCATATCTACATTAGGGTTAGAAATGCACTTTTTGCTTTAGGCCAAACAAAAAAATAGGTGTACGTGTTTCCTATTACATCGAAAACAAAAGTAGGGTAGACCTGTATAGGTAGGGATTTTTTTATTTTTTATTTTTTTTATTCTTCGGTTCCGAATATCCCTCTGATGCATGCAATAAAGGTGTATAACTATAGGTAGGGATAGGTTAGTAATCAAGTCCAGAACGTGTTTGTAGTAAAACATCTCAAGTTTTGTCTGTCAGATTTCAAATGAAAAAACTTTTCTTTTTTTCTCTTTTAAAAGTTTTGGGTCGGCCCTAATAATCTGGGGACGGTCGGTCGACCGGAAACACACCTATTTTTTTGTTTGGCCTTAGAGGAAATACTTTCTATCAGGAAAGCAGGCATCACACTTGCTCATCCAGGCAAAACGTCAAGAAAACCATAGCAGTTCCACTTCTTCCCACCCCGGCCAACAGTACTGTCCTATTGCCTCTGCCCATACCGAAGCTGGCTCGCCCGCCTAACTTTGTTTTCCCTGATTCATTCATTCTAAATATGGTCACCCATGCTCAACCCAAGTTGCACATTGAATGAAGCACAGATGGTAACATATATAGGCTCAACCCAATTTTAAAACACCAAACAACTGGTCATCCTTTTCAAGAGAAAATTATCTATAACTTTGTTGCGTTTACTTTATACTTACTTACCGGTTACTTACTTTTTGCTACTATGCCACGGTTTATCCGAAATTTTTGGGTAGCAAGTATTTGCTGTCGACGTTGAGATTAGGCAGCAAAACTGCTGCTTGTTGCCTTTACTTTATACATGATGGGGTTATGGTTGGGTTTAGATTAGCATTAGGGTGATATCTGATTATGATGTATGTACGTATAGGCCCTGAAGTAGGATTGCACCCATTGTGACCCATGAGACAATACTACATGAGCTATATATGCATGAACTGTATGCAATACTCATATTTAATTGTTCGTAATTAGGAGGTTGTTTTCGAAAGGAAGATTATTAGGAAAGGTGTTCTATCCTATGTATTGTATCAGTCTGATAAGCATTTATTCAAGACAAGTTGATATGTTAGAAGTGCTTAGCGATTTGACCATTAATAGTCATCTCAAAACTCACATGACCTATAACCCGAGTGCCTTGTATACATACAATGGCATTCCAAGTTTTGGTACAGTCACAGTTTACTCTCTGAAAGTTAGGGAGTTAGAATGTGGTTAACACTGGTTATGTTAACCTATAGAGTTAGGATTAACCCACACCCAACCATAACAGGTGAAATTTTGGACTCCATCTGAACTGTAAGTCGACTACGGTTTTCTGTAGTTGCAATCACATATTTAAACCAATATATTATGGACAAGTAATGAAAATAAACTAATGTCTGAGAGGGATCATTATTGGTGATAAGTTTTAGTTTTTATATTGCAAGTACTAGATGCACTTCCTTAAAATATTTCCAGCTTTATATAAACATTAGTATATTTTTTATATTTCATTTAATTTCTTATTCGTTTTTTCTATTCTAAATTGGGCAATATTGAATGTTTATGAGATATATTGAGTCACAAATTAAGGTGAATGTCCTCTAGTACAGTTTCTGTACCACATGAGTTCCTATTTCAGGGGATGGCTACCCATAAATAGCATGTCAATGAGAATCCTGGCATATTCTAAGCCTAGAGAGTCTGCTGCTGTATCAATTCTCTGGTAGTTTAGAGCATGGCTTCAAGATGTGGGGAGACATGTGGCAGACATCAGTGGCTATAACCTACTGAGTTTCAAGTACTGTACCACATATATCACGTTTCATGCAATTATTTTGGAGTAAAAATGCAGTATGTCTATGATTGAGAACGTATCAATATGAAGAGTAGATATGTCCGTGGTATTTAAGTGAAAACAGGGTTTGAATTTGTGATGGCAGTGCAGTGGTTGCATGCCCTCCTCACTTGGACTCGGAGTGATACCCCTAAAAATTGCTCTATATGATCTGCGGAGGTAAACCGCTGTGATTACCCTATCTGGTGTGTCACTATAGCAAAGTTGCCATGGTAACATGTATTTGAAGGAGCAGTTTGTCCTGGTTCCCCTCTTAGTTAGATGCCCGAAAATTTCTCAAGACAACAATTGCATTGCCATAAAAATGTAAATTTGCCCCCGATAAGAGTAGCAAGGCTTTCTGAATAAGAATAATAAAATATAAAAGGCAATATTGGCCAGAATTCGTGTGTGAGATAAACAGAATCAATTCCTTAATTGTTAAAGAAGTAATTCCTATGCGATTGAGGTCTGGGGAATTTGCTTATGAGCAATAACATTTTCAGAAATTTTGCGTTTTAAACATTAACTTTTGGTTTCTAGTGGAGCTGCACCACATTTCACAGAATGCCAGCTAGGCACTGGGAGTCGGCGCTATCATTTATGCAGTTAAACACAGACTGTATGTTTACAGTACTATAAACATTTGGCAAATTCCATGAAATTTACAGTAAACAGTTCGCTGTCTGGATTTCAAGTTGGTTGCGATCTTGTAAGTCATAGCGTGTACCATTTCGGCTCTCTAGAGTTTTGCATGCTTGGAACGCTTCCAAGTAGTGTATCACCAGTTAGTACAGGCAATAGTATTAGTATGAATTCTTTGCCAGATGCCTAAATTCTCTACTTGTTTCTATTTATTTTTGTGGGGGTTTCTTCGCACCCTTCTATGCTTTGCTGTACGTTGAGATAAAGGAATATATTGTTAGCTATACTAAAATTTCTGACCTCAGGGTCTCCCAGCACTCCATTATAACACGTGATGAATGCACGGCAATGTTATTGTCATTAGTATAGTCCGACTATCCTGTTCAGACTCACTATAGGCTGTGTTTGCTCGAATTCAGTATGTATTTACGTACATGCATATTGACACAGTGGGTGCATGCTAATTTTACCAGGTGTTCCGTTGGTGTTTGCGTTTTACAATGTGTTGGCAGGCGTTCTGGCAATGACTAAAGGCATATAATACTATCCTTGCTTATATGTAGCATAGGGTCCATTTCCTCTGGTAAAGAATTATATGGCTGACGGGGCACAATGACCCATCAGCAATAAATGATCATCAATGAAGAGTATAAAAATGTAATTAGCTGCTGGTAGCATAAAGTTTTATGCAATATAAAATTAGAGCAGTTATTATTGATGCAGACTGACGCTCATCGTCAGATCTTCATCAAACACCGGTATCTAGTGATAAGCAAGTATTTTTGTAGCAGGTGGCAACTTCCGTTATAGCATAATAATAAGAGAAGGATTTAAACATACACACGCGCTGTAATAATTCTTTCTCGGATGCACTTTGAAGGTTATTTATTCATGGCTATATCGGGGTAATATTTTGAAGTTAGTTTGCTTAGAAAAAGTTAAAAAAAAACATTTGCTGTGAACCCCCGAATTATATCCCTGTTCTTTCTCCCCATCCCTCTCCCTCCCTCCCTCTCCCTCCCTCTTCCCCCTCTCCCTCCCCTTCCTCCCGCATCCCCTTCTCTCCACCCTCTACTCTCTCGGCTCCCTCCTCTATCTACCTTCCTCCCGCCCTCATCTCCCTCTCTCTCTCTCTCCTTGCCCTCGCCTCCCTCCTTCTCGTCTCCTTCTTCCCTCCCTCTACCTTCCTTTCCTCCCTTCCCTCCTCGTCCTCCGCTCAGCTCTGTCTCCATCCCTCTCCCTGTCCTCCTCTCTTCTCCCATTCCTTCCTCTCCTTCTCCCTTTTCTCCCCCCTTCCCCTCCCCTCTTCCCTCTTTCTCTCTCTCCCTTTTCCTCGCATCCTCTCCCTTCTCCCTATTCCCCCTCTCCTACCTACCTCGTTCTCTTGTCTTCTTCTCTCTCCTCTCTCTCTCTCTCTCTGCTCTCCTCTCTCTCTCGCTGCTGACAACACACTTATCTACTTTCTACTCCTCCCATCCTTTCGCCGTCTGCCCCTCTCTCTCTCCCTTTCTTTCTTGCTCTCATTGTCTGCGCTTGCACTTGTGCAGCGTCCTCGCCGCCTTCCGTCAAGTTGTGCGAGTAGCTTGTTTGTACACGGTTCAAGATGTCCGTCAATACTGGTACCTGGACTTCCGTAGGAATTACTTATTTTCTACAGTGGTGCCAGAATAGACCTCTCATGCGCCTGCCCGTTTCGGCATCGCCCATCACTGTTCCTCATTTATATATACCAGAATTCCGGAAGCGGCCTGGCTCCGACCCCCGTGCTTATACACCCCAGACCTGCTATTTGCATCAGCCTGATATAATTGTGCCTTCACTCGTCCTGGCCCGCTCAACCGACGAATATCCCCCGCTTCCTCCCGGGCTTCATTAGCCATCGCTCGCGCCGCCCCCACTGCACGGAAATGCCCCTCTCATACTGAATAGTAGCGATGTTGTTGATGCGTATCACGAAT